TAGGAGAAACGGTTCACTAAACTAGTATATTGGATGGTAGTGTATTAATTGCAAAACCATTGAATTTGAGATTTATGACAAGATTTTTAATGACATTTTGGGGAAATTCTCAGAAATAATATAGTAGTTAAAACTCTGAGCTTCTATAAAAGTCAAAGTCAGGCTCCTTGCCAACCTGCTTGGGACCCCTTCTGTCTCTCGACAGAAGCTTGCTTTCTTTCAATAAATATATTCTGTTCTTAAAAAAAAAGAAAACAAACAAAAAACTCCTGAGCTTTGGCATTAAATTTAAAGTGCATATTATTCACTAGTTTATGTGATGGTTTCAAGTTACCTAAACTCTGGAACAGCTGAAGAACAGATGGAAACCTGTTTCCTTAGCCATTTAGAACAGAAACACTGAGCCAGGCATGGTGGTACATGCCTGCAATCCTAGCACTTGGGAGGCTGAGGTAGGAGGGTCGCTGCAAGTTCGAGACCAGCCTGGGCTACAAAGCTCAAAGCCAGCCTGAACTGCATAGCAAGACCCTGTCTCCAAAAGACCAAAAAAAAAAAAAAAAGAAAGAAAGACTACCTGCTGGTGTGGTCCAGTGGTACAGTGTTTTATATACACAAGGACCTAGGTTCAATTCCCATCACTACAAAATGGAAGGCTGTTATTAAGAGAAACACATATAAAACAACCCTATATATCCAACAAATATTAACATCAGTATCACAGCATAAAGTACATTAAGATAGTAAGGTCTAAATTTTTATTTGGTTTTCCAATTTAAAAATAAATACCAAAAGACTGAGATTATGTCAGTCAATAGGTCTGGGTGGGGGATCAGGGATATAGCTCAGTGGTAAGATGCCTGCCTGACAAGTATGAGGTCCTGAGTTTGACTCCCAGTTTAAGAAAGTTTTTTTTGTGTGTTCAGGTGTTAGGCGGTATTGGGTATTAAACTCAGGACCTTGTATTTGCCAGGCAGGCACTGTGCCACTGAGCTATATCCCAGCTCTGACTTCCAGCTTAAAAAAAAAAAATTGATCTTCAATAATTAGTAGTTTGAAATTATGATCTTCAATAATTCAATAATCTTCAATAATTACTTTCATAACAAGAGAATGACATGCACTAAGTAGGTAGTGACAGTAAAGCAAAGTGTATTATAACATTAAATAAATTTTTTAAAAAAGCTTGGCATGGTGGTGAGTGCCTGTAATCCAGCACTATGGGAGGCTGAGGTAGGAAGATTTTAAATTCGAGCCCAATTTGGGCAACCTAGCAAAGGTTCTGTCTCAAAAAAATAAATAAAAAGAGCTGGGAACATAGCACAGTGTAAAGGCTCTGGATTCAACCAATCCCCAGGTTCCACTCTACACACAAAAAAGAAATCAAATATATCCTTTTTAAAAAGGTAACTAGAATTAGTCAGCTATATAGCTTTGTTTATGCTGTAAATACATTAGGGTGTGTGTCCATATGTGCACACTGGGAATAGAACCTAGATTCTCAAGCATAGTAAGCATATCCTCTACTACTAAACTACATGGTAGAATTTAACTTAATAATTTTCTTACAGTCATTTCACCTTAGAAAAATCTGGGACAATAATCCCTCATTCTTCAGATCTTTGTCTTATATAACATGTCAGGTGAACATTTATTTTGGTATTTGCAAACAGTTTGATAGGAAAATTCATTTTATTAGCTTTTAGTGTTCACTTTCTCACATAGTAAATTCTAGGATTTGCTTCTGAGAATTATATTTTGTTCCACTGGGCAATGTCAGGCAATGTCAGGCAGCTATAGTGTAAAAATACTGATAGTACTGGTGTCTCTTAATTACTGCAGCACTTATTCAACATCTTTGAAATATACAAGCTATTCTTACCTCTTCTTCTAAATCAGCATCCAAAATTAATCAAGCTTTCCCCAGATGCACACCAGTTCCTTCTGGAAATTTATTAATAATTTAAAATTAATATGGTAAATTTTTAATTTTCATGTTATAAATGTACTCTAATTTTTAAGTAGTTTTGTTCTTTCTGTGAATGAGATTTTTTAATTAGTTATTGTTAATAGTTTTACCTTGAAAATTCAATAGTTGGGTCTTTTTTTGGTACTGGGAATCAGACTCAGGACCTTGCACTGGGCAGGCAGACACTGTGCTACTGAGCTATATCCATAGCCAGCCACACTTAGGCCGCTGAGCTATATTCTGGGCTTAGTTTTATGACTCAATTTATAGAAAAATGTTAATATTTCCATTGATTACCATTTTTACAATGGTACTCAATTTAGGACTGCGTTATGCTTCCTTGATTAAGTCTGCATTCTAGAGAAAGCTGAGATCTGTAAAGTTCATCAGTTTAACTTTTCTGTTAAAGATTTGTCCAGTACGACAATAAAAATGAGGTATTACCCCAAGCTTCTCCCCACTCCTTAGAGATACTTTTCGAGCCAGAGATAAAAGTGGATTGTGGAACAAACTGAGGACTCTGGTCAGCTCTAGTTCCTTCCAATTGATGTTTATATTAGCATCTTTATAGTTTTTCAATGGTGATAAGTTCCTAGGGTGATGATGAGAGTCAGTCACACCCATTTTCAGAAATACTGTACTCATGGATTCTAGAAATTAGATGTCACTGTTCCAATAAACTCTCAGAACTGAATAGTAAAAAGAATAGAAACAAACCACCAATGGATGCCTTGGGGCCAGTTCTAAAACAAGCATACAGACATTTGAGGATTTTTCAGTAGAGGGCAGGTATCTAAAGGCCTGAGGTATGCCTTAGTTTGGGGAGCATGCACTTAGGCCCTTGTATGTGCACATACATCTGGAGGAAGCCGCAAAAGTCCCTGAATGGTTGCCTTAGGGGTGGGCCTCTAGCAGACAGCAGCAGCAGACAGGTAAGGACCAGATCATCAGTGACTCCGGAGGAACCTCCCTGATTTTAGGACTGGCCTGGGCTGACAGCATGTCCTAAAGTTTCTGCCCCTCCATATCCCTCCTCTTTCTCCCTGCCCTGAACTGGCCCCTATCACCTTTGTCTTGATGACTGTACATGCCTGTAATTTTCCTGCCTCCTCTTGTCCCCTTCTCTAGACTTCCCTGTATAGGGCCCTTATGGGTTTATTCAGGTATGTCTTACTCTGGTTTTAGGCTTGTCTCCTACAGATTATGAAGGTCAAAAAGGGCATCTTTAAGAGTGCAGTCACAACGCTCAGGTTTCCTGCTCTCTGCTGGTGAAAGCTGAAGGATCCTGCAACTGTGTGGCCATGCCAGGAACTACTGACTACCTGTAGGCAGGCACTTGAGGCCCTGGCGGGGTACAAGGAGGCCTCTACCAGCCATCCCCCAGGGAGCAGAGGGAAGGAGGGGGCCAGAACAGTACAGCAGCAGTCTTTCAGGGCCCTAGTCCCTAGGCACATGCTACAAGCCATTAGCTGGCTTTTGTTTTGGCCATGTTTGAGAAAGGGATGAAGTCTGCTTCTGGATATCATTCCTGAGGACTGGAGCTGCTCTGAGAAATTTAGGCAACCCGATATTCTGGTTGTTGAAATAGGATAACTGACATAACCCGGGAAGGAAATTTCACCTTGGGAGAAACGCTGACACTCAAGTCCTAAGAAGGGGTTTTCCTGCCTGCAGAAAAGGTATGGGCTGAGAAGAGTTCGCTATCATATCCAAAACATACCCCTGGATTACGGAAAGATGCTCTAATTTGTTTTCTTCCCATTTTGCTTGGAGAAATTCTAGCCACCCACCAGAAAAGTTTGGGTAGTGTGAACCACCAGATTTCTGATTAAATATTTTGAAGCAAGGTAAGTTCTAGTGATAAGAATTAGCATGAACTGTAAGACTCATTTGAGTATTTTTATACTCTGAATACTTTCTATGTAGGTATCATGTGTGACATCTCATACAAAGCTAAATGCATGTGAAGTTTGCATAGAGCTACACTGGAGTCTGGGCAAAGGATCCCAAGGAAGCTTTTTTAGTCCTTGGAGCTAGGGACTGCAGGACTCTTCATTGTTCTGCCTTCCGGTTCCAAGAAGGGCAATACCAGCTAGACCTCATGACAGTAGCTGTGAGTGGTGACGCTGAGTAGACACAGGCTGTGATGAGAACCAACTGGGTAAACTGCTACATACCACTCTACCCAATTCATGCCATCAACAGCCACATTAGCTCTGCTCTGTTCCTATCACTATAGATCCTACATTCATCTAATTCTCAACACCTGCCCTGTTTCTCAATCCCTGTACTAATGCTCTCCTGTGAACAAAGTAAGAAAAGAAAACATGAAAAAGTTTTAAAAATTGGCTCAGAAAAACAGTGCAGGAGACAAGACTAAAAAAAAACGACACAGGATTGTTTCCATCACTTAATACTGCTTTATTTGATAGCCTGTTCCTAATGGATTGTTAAGAATAACTAGTTAGGTATCTTCCTCCAAACCATATCCTGAAATGTTTTCCTGGCATTAAATTTCCACCCTTAAGAGTATCTCCTGGTAGTTCTACATCCTTTGCACTGATACATAAGACACCTGTTCGCTTTATTCTAAAATATGCTTTTCTCTAATAGTTTTGCCCTCCCCTTTAACTCCCCACCATTAATGATCAATGACTCAGTTACAACAAGACCATCTCAACTTCTTTCCTAGAAACCAGGTATAAAACCAAAATACATTTTAAAAAACCTAATCTGCCTCAGCTACCTCATAAGACTGAAAAGTTTCTAAACAAAGAATCAAAAACATTTTTACTGCTGTACAACACAGAGGGGAAGAACAATTTTCAGAGACTTTATGACGTTATGCCAATTTAGTTTGACTGTTGGTTGGCATGTGGGAGGTCCAGCCTAGTCAATCATGCCCACAAACCACCTGAACCTATCTGTGGCTACCTTTGTCAGAACGTTCTTGACCAACCCAAAAGTCCACAAACAAAATGCAGTTTCTCTCAGACATAAGATAAACACGGGAATAAGACAAAGATCCACATACTTTGTTTGCTGAAGATATTTATTTTCATCCAAACACTGTCAACAGGGACAGACATAATCCCTAATTTCCCTACAATCCACATTTTCAGTGTTTCCTAGGGAATCTGTCTTTCAAGGAACCCTCTACCTGGGAACAAGGCTTAGAGCGCTGTGTTATTTTTTGAATACAGAAGAAAAGCCTCAGTCTATCCAAAGGGTAGACTGATCACACACTCATTTCAACTGCCAATTTCTAGACTCACCTGAAAGTTCTTCCTTAAATTTCCCTTAGGTCTTCATTTTCTTTTTGTCTGAGGTCACACATCATGTGGTTTGCCAATGGGCACTCCAGGAGCCAGACACTGAGGGGTGTTATTGTGGCTGACCTGGACACTCATGGATTCCCAGCCGGAGCTGTAACTTACAACCAGTCTTGTTGACCTCCAGGCTAGTTTCTCTGGAAATTTGGCCCTTTTCTTTGGTCTCAAGGACCCGAGGAGCCTCAATGCTTCTGTAGTTCCATATGAAGACTAAAAGATCATGTGAATTCCCAAAGTTGTTGGGATAAATATTACACAATAAGGCACCCAAACTACATGCTGGTTAAACATACCAAGAAAGTGGGTATACCTTGGGACAAGATGGACTAAAGTGTCCCTGAGCAGGTCATTTTGAACCTTCCTACTGCAAACAACTCTTTAGTTTTAAAACATTCCTTTGCTGCCTCTGCATGACCCTCAATATGAGCCCTCATTTCCTCTTGGAAAACAGAGGTCATCTGGCAAGGTTAGGCAAGGAATGATAGCTCATGATAACTCTATATACCACCTAACCTGGGGCAAAGAGAAATCCCATTACTTTTTAACCTGTGTGAGTTCTCTGGTGACTCATAAGGCGTGAACTTCGAGAGAAGCTTTCTCCACATTCAGAACATTTATAAGGCCTCTCTCCAGTATGGGTTCTCAGGTGACGAATCCGATTGGAGCTGTGAGAGAAACTGTCTCCGCACTCATGACAAGTATAGGGTTTTTCTCCTGTGTGAATTCTCTGGTGCCGGATTAAGTTGGATCTATGAGAGAAATTTTCTCCACAAAGGGTACATTTGTACGGTTTCTCTCCTGTGTGCGTTCTCTGGTGTCTAGTAAGATGCATGCCCTGCCGGAAGCTTTTACCACAAGTTGAACATTCAAAGAGTTTCTTTTCTGCTCTGCGGGTTCCCTGACTTGGAAGAAAGGGAGTACCATCACTCATGGCCTCCCCATTCTCAGAGAAGGGGTCAAGTCTCTCTCTCTCATGAGTTCTTTCATGAATGACAAGGTGAGAACTCCGAGAGAAACTTTTCCCACATTCAGCACACTTATAGGGTCTCTCTCCTGTGTGGATCCTCTGGTGTCTAAGAAGGTTGGAGCTGTGAGCAAAGATCTCCCCACACTCAGAGCACTTGTAGGGTTTTTCTCCAGTGTGTGTCCTTTGGTGCCTATGGAGGTTGGAGTTGCAAGAGAAGCTTTTTCCACATACATTGCACTGATAAGGCTTCTCACCTGTGTGGGTTCGCTGATGGCGAGTCAGATGGGTATTTTGACTGAAGCATTTCCCACACTCTAGGCACTTATGGGCCTCCTCTCCCAGGTGTGCTTTATGTAGTGAGAGAAAATGTGGATGCCCACCAAAGATTTCACTGCACTCCACACCCATACATAGTCTTTCTGCTGCATGTATTCTCTGATGTCTAATTAGGTTTGAGTTATTAGAGAAATTTTTGCCACACAAGGGACATAAATGAAGTTTTTTTGGCTGCAGTTCCTTTGGTGGCCCCAGTTCTCTGCAACCCGTGGCTCCTGTTAAGGACTGCTCCATTTCATCTTCTGGAGGAGGTTCCCAGTGCCCTTCTGCCCTGTCATGAGGCTGGCCCTGCTCAGGACTCCAGGGTACCTCTCCTCTGGCCTGGCCAGGAAACAGCACCTGAGAGTGAGTGTTCTCAGGGGAAACAGACTGAACATTTCCTTCTTGGTTGTCATACTTCTCTTTTCCTGGTAGAGAAAAAAATCCAAACCTCTACATTATTTCTATACTGGAAGAGAACATAACCCTACATTCCTGCTATGCCAATTAGGTCAGAGGTCCTAGGGGAGCTTCAGTTTCCTACTGTCCTTCTAGGTATAAAATACCCTAAAGAGGTATCTGAACAAGGGTTGGAGCTACGGCTCAAGGAATCAGAGCCCAGAAGCCAGGTGTAGTGCCTCACCAGGTGTAACTCTGGAGGCTAAGGTAGGACAGTTGCAGGTTCCAGACTAGTCTATCCTACACTACACAGTGAGACACTGTCAGAAAGAAAAAAAAAGACAAAAGGAAAAAGAAAAAGAAAAGAGAGAAAGAGAAGAAGAAATCAGAGCTCAGAGAATTGTGGACAGTCCTTTCTTCGGCCTCAACAAACCTTTCCAATTAGGCCCCTGGCTGATGCCTTTCAGGAATGGATGAGATGTAACAGGGCTGAGATCATGACAGGACAAGTGAGCCCAAGAGTGAGTACCTCCTCAGAGTTTGCATCCTAGGTTCCACAGTTGCCTCACTGGGATGGAAAGTGGTCAGTTAAGATAGAAGCAATGTGAAAAAAAAAAAAAAATGGGGCTGGGGATTTAGCTCAGCGGCGTAAGTGCCTGCCTTGCAAGCAGGCTGTCCTGAGTTTGATCCCCGGTACCGATAAAAAAGAAAAAGAAAAAGAAAAAGAAGATACAAGCAATGTGCTTCCGTAGAAACAGTGGTATGCTGGCCCTACACTCAAACCCTTAAAAACCTCATGCTTGGAGTGAGATACCTTGCTGAGCAGTTACTCATCCATCTTTTTTTTTTTTTTTTTTTTGTTTGTTTGTTTTTTTTGTTTTTTTTGTTTTTATCGATACCAGGGATCGAACTCACGACTGCCTGCTTACAAGGCAGGCGCTTATGCCGCTGAGCTAAATCCCCAGCCCTACTCATCCATCTTCATTCCTTACCTGGAGCTGGGCTTCTGGGGCTCATGCCCTCCTTACAGCCCTGGACATTGAGATCCCATGGCTTTTCTCCTTGTTCCACCTGGGTGCTTAGGGCCTCCTGACTGGGAATGTGAGGCTCTGTTTAAAATGATGAAAGAAACAGATTGCTGTATCAGCACTCTCTTCTACTAGGCAGAACAAAGATAGCCTTAATCCCTACCCTTAATAAATAAGACACAGAATGCTCTGATACTACTGGGAATGCACATTAAACTATTCCCAATGTTTACGTCTAAGAAACGAAATTAGGGGAGAAAGACTATGGGTTGATTTTTTTAAAAATTTTTTTTCAAAGTTTTTGGTATTTTTTTGCAATCAGAATATATATGTTTATAATTAAAACAAGAAAGCAGATGATTAGAATGGTCAGTTCATTAATGAATTTGTTTAGCAAACCAAAACAGCCTTGCCTATTAAAATATAAACATAAAATAGAGCTAGATTTGATAGCTCCAGGAGGAGAAAACATCAATAGGCAATTAGAAAAGGACCCTGGGCTCTTTTGGGATTATAAACTTAAAACCCAAATACGCCATTTCTATGTATGCTAGAGAGAAAAACAAAAACCTCACTTCCCTTCCAGAAAACATGGGACTCAAACATACATTCCGTTCCAACAAATTATAATCTGATCTTTTTTTCCTAGTCAGCACTCACTTCATTCAACTTTGCACAACTCAACAGTGGAGAAGTAATGGAAAACTTGGAGAGGTCTCAATCATAGAAAACAAAAATAACAGTAACCCTTTTACAGAATTAGTACAAATGAGTTCATAGCTATGATTCTCTTTACACAAAACAGATGAAAACAAAAATGGTGTGACTTTCTGCTGAGTGCATCAACATAGCTAATCATAATATATATAATGTCTTAGGACTTATCCCATTTTTTAAATAAGATTTTTCATAACTACAATCAAGGGTATTGTATAATAAATAGCAGTATATCCTCCATCTAAATCCAGTGGCAGATGTGTAACTGATCCTAGTGCAGGAAACTTTACATAGAAGGTTTCATAAAACTCAAGTCTGAGAGATAAGTATCCAAGAGACAGAATTCTTATCAGAAATATTGCAGTTATCAACCTCAGAAAAGAAGTCTTACCCAATGAGTCCACAGTCTCATAACTCTCTTGCACCATGTCCCTGGAGAAAGTTCTCTTACTAGGATCCTGATGCCCCCACTCCTCCTGGGAGATGTACACTGCCACATCTTCTAAGCTCTCAGGCAACTGAAACAGCAAAGGATCGCCTTTAGCCCGGGATGCACTAAGAACATTTCAAGCAGAGTTTCAGGAAAAAGAAGTAAAAACCCAGGGGTACCAAGGACATATGTCATGGGGAAAAAAATGATCCCAGACCTACAAATGATGGATGGAGACCAATAACAGGGAGGGGGACATTTGGTTGAGGGGAAAGGATCCTCCAAGTGCCACAACTGCCCCAGCCCATCCCCAAAGGAAGACTCCAGGGGAGGAAGAAGAGTCCTGGCAGGGGGAGATAATGGGACCTTCCACATCACCTGGGACCCAGTCATTTCCTTGTCTTCCATATTCCCTTCAGGAGGAAAGAGAGAAAGCCAGGGAGCAGATAACGCTGAAGGTGACAGAAATCATAATGAGAATGGCATTCCTAAATCTCGGCAACCCATAAATTATTACAATTCAGTATACACTTCTCAAAATCTCATTTCTGCTTTTAAGGTTAACACTAAACAAAAACCAGTAACAGGCAGAATAAAGTAATAAGTAATATCCAAAACGATGGGGTCGGATTCAAGGAATGGGAGCAGTTTTTCCACAGGAGTTGGCAACACTCCAAACTCCTCATTGTTTACCTAGTTCTAAATCTCTTCTGCATTCAAATACATCCCTTCTACTAAGAGATTCTCCTTCCTTGTATCCCTCAGCAGAACCCACACCACTTTTGGTCTTTCAGGCCACATCTGAAATCTTCAACTTGAGGAATTCCTTTCGCTTGTCAGAGACACTACATCCTGCTTAATGGGTCAACCCCAAAGCCCTTTCTCCCTCCCACCTGCCCAGATAACTGTTCCTCACCCCTGTCCTTTACAGCCTGGGGGTCCCTTTGGGGGCTGGGGCCTAGCAGCTCCTGCAGCCTGGGGCCAGGGCTTCGCTCAGTCTCCACAGGCTCCAGCTTGAAACTCGGTGACTCTCCTGCTGTTTCCAGAGGCAAAGGCTCCTCCAAAAGCACTTCTGTTCCCCGCCCTTGGTTTGTGACCTGAGGACCAACCCACATCACTTATCATCACAAAGGGGCCAATAGAAAAGGAAATTAGCACAGGATTCTAAAGCCTTCAACAGAAAACCACAAAAGATCCTTTTGAAGAAGAGAAAGATGTTTTACACTAAGGCTTTTTTGGTCCTGTGGGCTATCAGTAAAAATGGGGGAGTACAGTTAGGTGGGGCGGGGGTCCATTCCCAATGCACACCTTTCCCACACACAGTTCTACTATACCTTATTTTTGTTCTCCATCATTTTCCAGATGCTTCTATTCCTCACTACCGAATAAATTAAACCTTGGTGGCCCTAAGAGGGCCAGTGCCTGTAGAGTCTCAATGCCAAATTGCTTTTCAAAGTTTAACCAAAATCTACCTCCACAGATGAGACTACACTGCTGACCTTAACAAGAACAGGTAGCAAGCATAATTATAAACCAGTACCACCGACAAAACTTTACACGCTGTCCCCTCTCTACTCCTCAAAATAGCGCCCCCCCAAAACTATTTTATTATCTTCATTTTAACAAATGGCAAATAACTTGCCCAAAATCACAAAGGTAGTAACAGTAGTGTGATCATTTGAACGCTGTCAACTTAATTCCAGTGTTAACTATTGCTGAAGCACTGCCTCCATGTGGAAACAGGGTACCCTAACTATTCACTGCTCACTCTGTTCACATGGAGAAAATCTGCAGTGTGAATGTTCCACTTAAGCTATGAAAAGCCCTCTTCCCCATGTAAGTTCTACTCAGCGAAACCACGTAAATTATACTGGAAGATTTAGGCCAGCATCATGCCCCAAGCCTAGGGCCAAACAGCGACAATGTAATTCTCTCGCCCACCTGTTGCCTGAGTCTCCCAAGTTCTCTCTGCATATCCTCCACAAGGCTCACTGCTTCTTCACCGCTCTCGGGATGGAGTTCCTGAACCCTGCTCTGGATCTCTTGGGGTAGAATCGTCAAGAACTGCTCCAGTACTAGTAGTTCCAGGATCTGCTCCTTGGTACGCATCTCTGGCCGTAGCCACCCATGGCAAAGCTCCTGGAGCCGGCAGAGGGCCTCCCGGGGACCAGCGGCCTCTTGGAAGCGAAACCTCCTAAAGCGCAGATGAGAGGCCTCGGGGCTGGGCCCAGGGTCAGGGGGTGGTAGCTCCTGCGTCCAAGCGCAGTCCTCCTCGAGTTTCACTATAAGGAGACCTTCCCGTTCCTGAGAGCCCGGGAATGCCGCCATTGCCATGCCCCAGAGCGCCTTGGCCCGGAAACCGGCTGCGCCCTTTAAGGCGCCCGGGACCCTGTGCAAAGATGGACGGCTTCACCAAGTGCCAAGAGGTCCAGAGTTCCAAATCCTGGCGGAAGACCCCAGCTCGGAAATTTGGCCCTGCTGGCGCCACTTATTCCCGGGTTTTGGACGCACGCAAGCCTCTATCCTTAGCGTCCACGCCGGAAATTTCGGCGCACGGATTAGGCATCACTGTCCAATGGCGCATGCGCACGACCAACTTCCGGGACGCGTTTTGCGTATTCCCGTGCCCATTGGGTCCAATCAAGCCACATGCTCATTTTCAATAGACTAAAAGGGAAAGTTTTTCTACAGAGGCGGGACAAGGCAGAGGCCAATTGGAGCCGAAAGGCTGGGTAGCAGGGGGAATTTTGTGACCGGGGGAACAACGTGGAAGAGGGAAAGGAAGAAGCAGGTATAGAGTAGTGGACTACCTCAGTCAGATTACCCCCAGGGAAATTAGTCAAAATGAGCTACGCTTGATCCAAAGTCAAGCCGTATCAGTGTCGGAGCAGGGCCCAAAAAATCTGAATTGTTAACAAACTCTCCCATGAAATTCTTTCTCTAAGTGGTCCTTAGCCATTTGGGAAACTCGAAGTTGGCAACTCGTACCATTCCTGCAGCCTTCAGCCGCGGGACTGCCAGGAGTCGTAGTGGCGGGACCCGGCTACTCCGCCTGCGCTGCTGGCGGCTAGTCTAAGGTCCCTGAACAGCGTCTAGGCAGGAGAGCAAGTGTGTGCCTGCGTCCCCTGCTGGCCCGGGGTCTCGTTTCCGGCGGCTGAATTTAGTACAGTACCGGAGCAGCCGAGCCCACTGGCGTCTCAGGCTTCCAATTGCAGATCGGGTTTTAAGCCTGCCAAAGACGTACAGTGGCACTTGCTGTTCTGCACGCGCGGTCTTGCGCTCAGCCCAGTGAGAAACCAACTGTCCATTGTGAATTCTGTCATCAAGGCGAAGGGAAACCCTTAGAGAGCCGACTCCGTGCTAGGGTTAGATGCTCCATTCCCTCTGCCACGGTCAGTGGTTCACCAGGTAGAAGCTTCAGAGCAGCGAGTCGTGCCAAACAGTAACCGTTTATTGAACACGTGTCGTTGGGTTCTCACAAAAAAATTGTATGGTGAACATATAAAGACACCAGTGTTAGTTAAATCGCTTGTCACACAACTGCCTTATTCAGGCTGCCGTGTAAATACATGGGCAGATATAGGTCTATTTCAGGTAAACCTTGTTCAGACTTAGGACTTGAGTGTCCTAAAATCATTTTTATGTTTTTAAGACATTCCTGCTTATAAACCTCACATGCCTGGCAAGCGCAAAGTTGTGACTTTGATACCCGGTACCCACAAAAAAATAAATTATAACCTCGACACCATTTGTTTGGAGTTTACTATGTAATCTCAGGCAATTTGTTCAATCGATTTATTAAAAACTGACTTCCTAGAGGCTGGGGATTTAGCTCAGCGGCATAAGCGCCTGCCTTGCAAGCAGATAGTCGTGAGTTCGATCCCTGGTACCGATAAAAACGAAAAAGACAAACAAAACGAAACAACTCATTTCCTCTAAGCCCTTTTCTGTTCTAAGGGAGTAATATTTTACCCACCTCAAAATATGTGCATGGAACACGTGTATCAGTAAATATCAAAGGTTTTTTTTTTTTTACTTTTTTATTTTTATCGGTACCGGGGATCAAACTTGTAACTGCGTGCTTGGAAGGCAGGTGCTTATGCTACTGAGCTAAACCTCCAGCCTCAATATCACAGTTTTGTTTTGACATCAGGTTCACCAAAATTTCCCAGGTTGGCCTCCTACTTGAAATCCTCCTGCTTCAGCCACCTGAGTAATTTAGAATTACAGCGTGCATCAGGTGCCTGGCTTTACTAGGTGTTAATAATGCACCGAAAGTTTCTGAAGGCTTCCTTGCTGTTCGCGCGCATGCGTGCACACGCACACACACACAAATTTAAATGAGAAGCCCTGGGTTCAATCCTCAGCACAAATAATTAAAATTAAAAAGCCACTTGGAATTTTATTGCAGAATATATGGTGTACGAATGCTTGTGTAGGGGCTGGGGATTTAGCTTAGCGGCATAAGCGCCTGCCTTGCAAGCACACAGTTGCGAGTTTGATCCCTAGTGCCGATTTAAAAAAAAAAAAAAAAGAATGCTTGTGTAATACACATACTTTGAGATGGGAAGAACGAGGTGTTAGTCGTTTGTTATTTAAGATCCTTTTGATTTTAGGCTTGTTAATGAGTATCTAAAGGTGGGTGCACTTTCCAAGTGTATCAGTCAGTGCTTTCTAGAGAAACATGCTAATTATATGCATACAGAAGAATTTACAAAAATGGCATGTAAAAAAATCAGGTGTGGAAAGTACAAAAAGGACATCTGTGCGCTGGAGATCCAAAAGATCCAGGGCCTGGAGCTCAATGTAGTATCCATGTAAATCTGTATCAGGAGTAAAAATGGTCTACAATGGAAGGCTAATGTGTCTGTGCTGGAGGCCAGGAGACAGCATCCTAGGTGAAGGTGAAGACTGGAGCTGCTCCAAAGAAACAAGCAAGCCTTCCTTCTTTATTTCTCTTTTATTCCATTCAGGGTATAAGCCATTGGTTGGTGCCACTCACAACCAGGGTGGGTCTTCTATCTTTTGCAAATTCCTTCTGCCACACCTAGAACTCTGGTGATACAATTCAGTTTTTTCAGTTGAGTGTTTCTCACTCAAGTTGACATAATCATTACTGTTGTACTAGGTTATTTAAAATTACTGAAAATATTCCTCTTCTATTTCATTGTATCTTGTTTATATGCCTATAGAATAACTGGAATTTGGGAGTAAGATTATAGCCTAGCAGTTTTATTTATAAGGGTTCTCTTGGGTCTGGAGATTGGGGGGGGGGGTCTGGAGATTTTTAACCTGACATCAATAAAATTCAAGAGCAGTACTATCCAACAGAACTTTCTGAGATGGGAGCTATTAGGAACTTAGAGTTTCTAGCTTTGCCAAATGGCTATTATGTAGGTGGCACATTTAGATGGTCCATGGATGGGTTTGATGATTTTTTAAATCTTTTGATATCATATGTAAAATAGCATGTGTTCTTGTAGGAAGTTGGTCCAACCTATCTTCAAATTCTCAAAACCATCAAAAGATTAAGCACTGCAATGTTAGGGCTTTGGTAAAAAGTAATTTAAGGGAAATAAGTATGCCCTCTTGCAATCACGAAAGATTCTACCTTTTATATTTTCTTATGTTTTTTTGTAGGTGGCTTTTTGACTCTTAAAAATAAATTTGAATCTCAGATAATGAACTAGTACTCCTGATTTTAGGTCTCAGCAATGCTTGACTCTAGGGCTGCCTTCAGTCTTTGCCTAGGTCTTAAAGACTTGTTTTGTGCTCAAGGAATCAGTTTTCTGTGCCTGGTTTTAAAAATGATATTTGACAAAATTTACAGTGTTGATATTTTCAAGTCACTCAGAGTAGTGGCACTCACGTGTAGTTCCAGCTACTTGTGAGGCTGAGGCAAAAAGATTGAACCCAGGAGTACAAATTCAGCCTGGGAAATATTGCCAAGACTCCATCTCAAAAAACAATGGGGAGGAGATATGGAGTAAAACTCAGTGGCAGAACATATGCTTAACATTTAAGACCCCGAGTTCAGATGGGCAGCCAGTGCAAGCAGAGAGATGCAGCCAGGTAAGCCCTGTGCACCCTCAGGCCACCATTGGAAACCTTTGCTTCCTTCAGGTAGCCATTGCCCACCATGAGAATCAGACAAATACATTCCTATGTGCCTGCCACCATCGCAGTTCTGGTGTAGACATGCAGGCTGAGGAATAAGTAGCCCTACCACCAGGCACCTGTGACCATCAGGGAAGCCCAGTGTATTTGTATAAGTCTGGAGAAGCCTGCTCCATACCGTGCTACTTCCCTGTAGACCTGGGGTCAGAGAAAACCCAGTTGTCTGTCCCATTCCCCTACACTGTGGAGAGACAGCCAACGTGAGAAGTGCCTGGGACCCCACAACCAGATTCTAGGGAGGAGCCCAGGAGAATGTCAAGATGAAGGTGTAAAAGGCAGTCTCAGACCTCCAGGCCACACAGAACAAATCTGGGAGATACAGTCATGGAAGAAAATGGAAGAAACACACCTGAAATCTCCAAGAGAATAGCATCTGAAGGAAAAAAGCAAATTCATGAGGCTGTAACACTAACCAAATCAGGAATAATATCTCAGGTAAAATAAGAAATCACAAATATAATGAAAGAATTGCTCAGCATATTTAAAGAAAACATAAATAAAAAAGAGGAGCATAGGAAATGATGAAAACCTTGAAGGAACAATATAAAAGGAATTACAGTGCATGAAACATTCAAAGAGATATTCAGGAAATTAAAAAGTTGATCAAAAGCTGGTAAAACTGCTTGAAAGAGACTGAAGATAGACTTTGACACCTTGAAGACTGGATCACAGCGAGCTAGTGATTGTGAAAGGAAAGATCTCTTAAAAATAACAAGGAACCAGGAAATTACAATGGCTACAAGACAACACAAAGAAAAATAATTTAAGAGTGATAGGTATCAGTGAAGAAGCAGGGCACAACACAAATGAAACAAAAAGGCTATTTACAAAAGTAATAGCAGAAAGCTGAGCATGATGGCACATGCCTATAATTCCAGAAATTGGGAGGCTGAAACAGGAGGATCATTGTGATTTCAAGGCCAGCCTGGGCTATAAAGTGAGCTCAAGTCCAGCCTAAATTGTGAGAGCCTGTCTCAAAAAGAAAAAAAATAGAAAACTTCCCAAATATGGGAAATGGATCTGGCATAAAGATAAATGAGGCATATAGAACTCCAACTAGCCATAAACAAAGTAAATCTACTCTCAGACACAATAATCAAAATCCCAGAAATTCAGCACAAGACAGAATATTAAAAACTGTTACAGAAAAGAAACATCACCAATAGAGGAAAATCAATTGGAATCATGGCAGACTTATCAACACAAACCATCAAGTCAAGAAGAGTTTGGAGGGCTGGAGATTTAGCTCAGTGATGTAAGTGCCTGCCTGGCAAGCATGAGGTACTGAGTGAAGTGTTTTGAATCCTGAAGGAAAACAACTTCTAACTCAGATTGATGTATCCTGCAAAAGTGCCTTTCAAAACTGATGAAAAATAAGATACTTCCATGAT